ATGAGGATAAGCACCAAATTTATTTTTGAAGTCTCGCCGGGCACAAATGAAAATGAACTCTTTAGTTTTTTGGTTGGTTTTAATAATTAAGAAAATAATGTGTTATTTGGAAGTCAAGCCACATCGATAAAATTATGTCCACTACTCATTGGCATATTACAGCATATAAAAATATAAAAATATTTAGATGGTGATTCGCCATGAGTTACAATATTTATATTCAAGATAAGGTAAAATATGGGAAAGCACACCCACAAAGTAAACGTTAAAAGATAAAAACTGCCCTAAAGATACATAAAGCTTTAAAATTCCGCGAAATCTACTATAAAAGAGTGATTTTATAAAACAGGAGAAAAGCCGACAGCAAGGGATTCTATACCACATTCATTAGTGCTTCGTCGAATACGGAAAAAGCCCATTTCGCCCCAGTGAGACCCCCAACTGTTTTTAAGGCTCCAAAACTTTTCACCTGTTGTAGGCTCAACTCCGTAGCCAACAAGCAAGACAGCGTGACTTGTAGGTACGAAGGGATCAAATCTGTTTATATTATCCTGTCAAATAAAAAAATAATCAAAACGAATAGTGCTTATTTAGATAAAAATATAAGGATCCCAACTCTTAAAGTAGCAAAGTCGGTATAAATAGATAAGTGATAGAACTCGAAATGTTAAATAATTTTGCACAGAAAAAAAGTAAATCATTAAATCTGAATAGCGAATCATAGCTCAAAACGACAAAGGTATTAATGAAACTAATTTAATAAGGTAACAGAATCAGACTTTGATTGCCTTGTTCATTGCCGGCATTCATCGTAGCAAGCAAAGGTTTCACAGAATGGACTACCACACATTTGAAATAACTTTCAAGGACAATAAAACCAATAAGCCGATCAGCTGCAAGTAGCGCTTAAACAATAACTGTATTCACCATAGGTTACATTAGGGAATTTAGATTTGATAATTGCATTTTCTGACCATGATGTGGGTAGGCCCCATGATACCATTAAATTCTCCTTAGCCCAGCCTCTCGAAAAATGTTTTTATTCAAGACGAAATGTCAGTCTCTTCATAATTCCCAACTAAAATCAAACCCAAGAAAATCAGTGTATATTTTTAACATTTTACCACATTTTCTCAATCTGATTATAAATGTGATATGGGTGAGGCCCGGCTTGCCTGGTAAGTCACCTCAGCGATGTGACCACTTTGCTGACGCACTGTTGTTAGTAGTCGCGAATGAGGTGAAGAATGATAGTCGAAGTCTAAACTATCACCTGTTAAGCTTATGCGAGCCAGAGTAAATACAGCTTTTTAATCAATATCAACTATTATTATCGGCACTAATTATAATTTATAAGATCCACTAGAAATACTGGGGTTGGACAGAAAATGAAAGTACCTGGAGCAATAAAATGACAAATTCAAGCCTAGCCTTTATTGTATCGTATAAAATAATACTACTAGAGGCTGTATTAACATTAACAAAGACATAATTGTTACTATCCGACAAAAGAAAAGCAGTGTGTCTATGTAGGTACAAAAATAAGTAGAATTCAAGCCTAAGGCAGCCATCGCGGTAACATAAGTGGCAAACTAAGATGATGAAAGCCCAATAAAAAAACAAAATTATCATTTTCTCAGTAAACCTGCTCATCGACCATAGAGCTGTTGATCACCCTCTAAATTAATTCATCAGCAGATGAAAACAAAAATTACGCATTATTAGCATTAGTTAAATAGATTACTCTATTCTTGATGAGTTTAAACTCAACACATCCGAACATATTTTTATATATATATATATATATAAGTGTTGTGTGTTAAATTCAAATTAAGATATAAGAAAATAAAAGCTCAAAAGTAAGGCGACAGCGATCAATTAAAGTTAAAACCATAAAATTTTTGTACTGTGCAGTAAATAATTAATAAAACACTGTGAAAGAAAGAACGCGTACCACTATGCCGATGTGATGGTAAATACCAGAGGAATACGAATGGAAATCTGAATAAACTTGGAAGCCAACTGGAAAAGGGCCATTATTAATCAATTCAAGCATCATTAGAGCTTCATTGGTAGCACCATAATAACCACCCACATAATAATATTCAGTAGAGTAATAGCGCCTGCAACTGGCAGGAGTCATGCATTCCCCACTTGTTTTTGCGGTATACGGATTACACTTCTCCTCTACCATTCCAAAGTCTTCAGAATACTTTCCTGCGATCAAATATGGAAACCCCCCATCACAGCCTATGAAAAAATAATATATTATTAGAAAGTAAATTAGCAGGTTGGCTATTGATAAACAAAGTAATATGATAGCCCAAAATATTTAAATAAAAATTGCTATAAGTCAGTGGAATAAAAATGAGATAAAGGAATTCAACATAGCACGCCTTATAAGACAATTATGCAGGGAGATAAAAGACAAAGACATTAAAATAAAGAGCAAATTCAGTTACGAAAGTTAACTAAGGCAAATATTGCGGTAAAAGCAATGTTACTTGATAAGCAGATCCACGTATATTTCTAAGATCATGAATTTGACATTACATTATAGAAGATTTAAAAAAGGATGTCAAGCCTGAACATATTGTTAAAAGAGAGTTATCAACAAAATATGCAAATTGAAATATACCCTCAGAATAGGTACTACATTCAATGATATCCTGTGGAGAAAGGATAGGCTGCACGGTATTGTTAGACAGAA